CTTTAGAAAATTACCCATCTGCAGCTGAAAAAAATATGTAGTCAGCTGTGGCTGATTGGAATACTCTGTATATGTCCACTAAGTCCATTTGTTCCGAACTCTGCTTAAGTTCTGCTACTTCTTTGCTAATTTGTTGTCTGGTTTACTTATCTTTCTGGGATAAGGGAGTGTTAAGGTCTGCTGTTAAGATCTTGGTCTGGATACTAGATTTTTCATGTCCTTTAAGATGTGTCTTAAATAGTTGGTTGCTCCTGTGTTTGGTGCATACATATTTATAATTGTTACCTCTTCCTCTTGAATTTTTCCCCAACCAGTATATAATGGCCTCTTTTATTTCATTTGATCATTCTTAGTTTGAATTTCAGACTGTATGAGAACAGGATTGCTACCCCTTCTTTTTTCTGAGGTGCTAGGCATGTAGTATTGTTTTCCATCCTTTGACCTTCAGCCTCTTTATGAGTTAAGTGTGTTCCTTCTATACAGCATATTGTTGGATTTTGTTTCCTAATCCACTGTGCCAATCTATTTCTCTTAATTGGTGAATTGAGTCCATTTACATTGATGGTTGTAATTGAGATGTATTGACTTACGATTAACATGTTATTGTCCTGCTGTTGTTTACTCCTTTTTGTCCTGTGTTTGTCCTATTTAGTGGGTTCCTTCTGTTCTTGTTCATGGAGTTCTGATCATTTTCGTCCCTCTCTAGAACATCTTTTAGTAATCTATGTAGTGTTGGCTTTGTCATCATGTTTGCTGCATACGTATTTAGGAGTGTTACCTCTTCCTCTTGAATTTTTCCCCTAACCAGTTTATAGTGGCCTTCTTTATTTCATTTGATCATGTTTGGTTTGAATTTCAGACCGTGTGAGAAAAGGATTGCTACCCGTGCTGTGTAGGGTGGGCTTTGTAATCTGTGTTGTTGTTCTTTGTCATGGATGTATTTCACTTCTCCATCAAACTTGAAAGAGAGTTTTGCAGGGTATCGTAGTTTGGGCTGAAATTTGTTTTCATAGAGGACTTGAAGTACTCTGCTCCATGCTCTTCTTGAATTCATGGTTTGTGAAGAGAAGTCAGCCATAATTCTGATGGCTTTTCCTTTGAATGTGATCTGCTTCTTTTCTCTAGCAGCTTTCAATATATTATACTTGTGCTGAATTTCTCGGATCTTAACTATTATATGTCTCAGTGTGTTTTTAATTGGGTTGAGTTACTTGCTGTTCTGTATGTTTTGGTTACCTGAATGTCAGATTGTTTCCTTATATTTGGAAAGTTTTCTGCTATTACTTCTGCCCATATTCTTTTTATATCATTTGTATTGTCTCCTTTCTCTTAATGCCTATTAGTCTCACATTGTTTATCTTTGCATCGTCTTGCAAGTGATGAATATTTTTTCCTGCATCCTGGTTATTTTTAAGAAATCTTTTCTTATATTTTCACTAGCTGCGACAGCGTCTTCAAGATCTGAATCTCTATCTTCACTTTCACTCAAATGATTTTGCAAGCTTGTGATAGGTATTTTAAGTTCCTCTCAATCTCTTTGACTCTGTTTCATGTGCTCTATTTCTTTCCTGTATTGCTCATTCAAGGAATCCGTCATTTTTCTAATCTCATCTATTTTTTATCAGTGTCTTGTTTAGAAGCAGTTATTAGTTATTTACTAGAGGGATTTTTTCTGATTGGGTTTCCTCTGTATGTTTCTGTATTTGATTCTTTACTTCAGATGCTATGAATTCAGAGATTTCTTTTTTTATTTCAGAGGTCATTTCTGATCTGAGTTCCTCTATACCTTTCTGCAGTTGTTTCTTTGTTTCAAACACTCTTGATTCAGACATTTCAGCTGTGTGATTCCCAATTTCTTCTGTGCTAGTGTCCTCTACCCTTATTCTGGGTGGGCTTAGTCTGAGATTGCATTTTGCTCCTTGTCTGACATTTTGTGTAGCACTGTCTTCTGACCTTTGTTGTAGATCTTTGTTGCAGTTATAACCTTAGCATCTACTGAAGTTTAGGTGCAGATCTACAAAGTTTGAATTCATCCAGTTGTGCCTGGCTTGGATCTGGCTGCTGTGCTCAGCTCCTTCCTGCTGCAGCCCTTGGGAGTGAACCTGTTGTGCCCCTGTGGCAAGATGTTCTGCTCCTGGATTAGCTGGGTCGTTCTGTCCTCTACTCTCTCTGCAGGGATTGCAGTTGAAGGGTTTCACCCCACGCCAGTATGCCAGGCCTGGGCTGGGTCTGGAGGGGACAAGGGGTCACAGGGGAGTGGGGAAGCTCTCCCACACACTTGCAGTCCCTGGACTTGGACTGGCACTGGAGGGGTGTAGGAGCCCATAGAGTGTGGACAAATGTCTCACTCACGCAGCTGGCCTGGGCTGGCTCTGGAGAGGTGCAGTGGGTGCAGGAGAGTGTGGACTCTCCCACACACTCGCTGGGCCTGGGCTTAGCCTGGCTCTAGAGGGGTAGAGGAGTCCCAAGAGCAAGAGGAGAAAGGTCTCACTCAAGGTGCCTGGGCTGGTTCCGGAGTGCAAAATACAAGATTTTTTAAAAAGTAAATATGCAGCTCCATTCTCTTAATTCAATGAATAGAGAGGTTTATTCTAATAGTGTTTGAGGATATCAGGTCTGCATCTTGTACAATGAATAACCACTAAGACACCAATATACAATGTATTAATTGTTGAAAATGTGCTAGTAATCGGTTGTGAAACTGTCTCATTGCTATTTGGTTCTCAATAAAAATATTTTTAAAAATAAAAATGAAAGTAAGAAACTAAGAAAAGTGCCTTTTATACTCTTCACTGGGTAGTATTATAGTGTCAGAATAAGCACTACTTTTCAAGCTTTAGAATCACCATCGCAAATACAAAAGGTAATATTATTATGTTTGCCTAACAAATATAAACACTATGTACATTTGTAAGTGATAAATGTTTTTATTTGTTTTTTTCCTTTTAATTTAAATTTATTTCTTCTAGTACTTGTTTGCAGTACGTAATAATTACATTCATCACAGGGAGTTGGAGAGTGTACACTGTATAATATCTTATTTTTTTACCCCGTTCTCCATCCCTCCCCATCCCTCCATCTCTTGGTTCCCTTTCCTTTAACAAGAGCTATCTCCCTGTTTTCTGTTTGTTTGTTTGTTTGTTTGTTTTGTTTTTTCCAGAACCAGGGATTGAACTCAGGCCCTTGCACTTGCCAGGAAAGCACTTATTCCACTGAGCTATCTCCCTGGCCCCTGTTTCCTGTTATTTAACATACTTTTATATTTTATTTTTTTATTCCTTTCCCAAAATTTTATCGAGAAACAACAGTGAGAAAGTTTCAAACCAAATTGGTAGGACAGTTTCAATAATTAACACATTGCATACATTCTTCCTAGTGGTTAATTGCTGTACAAGATGACATGATATCCTATTTACAAACACTATTAGAACAAATCCCTCTATTCATTAAGAGAACATAACTATATATCTATCCTAACCATTTAGAATACACAGATACTAAATGCACATTCATCTGTATCACCTTTTTTTGTTTAGTTCCGTTACTGGAATATTATAGGTGTGCTAACTCAGCCAAATATTCTAAGAGTCCAGTAGTCCATAATAGTATTGGGTCTTCTACTTGACTGGCAGTGTCAGAAATTATTGACCTGAGTCCCCTACAGCTCAACATAACAGCATGGCTTTACTTCTTATACTTCGTTTTTATACTTTTCTGCTGGATGGTTAAGACCAAGATAAAGCAAGACCTATGCAACAAGAGTTGTAGCTTTTGGGTCTGATAAGGTCAGTGAAATCCCCTCAGGATTTATCCTGAGATCCTGTACCTCAGATTGTAGAACCAGAGAGAATGTTTTCTCTTGATGTGACTCTCCTTAGGCACACTCTACATCATCGATCACTTTCCTCTTTGGCCCCATAATCTCCTTGATCAGAAAATTTGGGACACTACTAAGTTACGTGACATTACAGTACAAGTTCTCATATGTCCTGAGTCTTAATTGACCTTGGAAGGCTAGGGCCAAAATGTTGGCTTTCCTTGCGACCCTCCTTTTTCTCTAATTTTGGTCAGCAGACTTAGGTTATTAACCCTCCAGAAGACAAGCTTATTGTTATTACCATACAACCTACTCTGTTAGGCTTAACCTCACTATCTGTCTGAATATCAAACATCTTAGGGGGCTGGTGAGATGGCTCAGTGGTCTAAAGCACCTACTTGGAGCAAGCTTGGCAGAGCACGGGGACCGCGGTTCACGTGCCAGCCAGTCCCGCCCCCTGGTGGGCTGAGCTGACCACACACATACATAAATAAATAAAATTTAAAAAAAAAATCTTAGACATAACATGGAACAAGTATTTTTCATCAAGTATTGATATGTTGAACTTTAAGTCCTTACAGAATATGATGAAAAAACATTTAAAAATTAGAATATATTTTAAATACAAGTGATAAATGTTTAAACAATATAAGCTGGAAGGCAGAGAAGAAAAGTAGATATGGGCTAGGATCCTCATCTTGTAAACAGAATATGCAACAGAAACTATTGCAGTTGTTGGAATAAAACTTTAGAGATTTAAGTATTGTTTAAAGTTACAAAAATACTCAGCAGAAGAACCAAAGATAGAGATATTACTACCAAAATTTCCAGAGAAGGGAAGGAAGACTGATTATATGAGCTACTCATCTATCATCACAAAGAGTAATTATGTCTAAATTCTGTGAACTCAGAAATAACTACTACACTTCATGACTAAAGTTGATGAATTATTTAGCCTTTGCCTGAGTATATTATTTAGCAGTATAGAGATAACAAAAATAGAAAAAGCACTAAGAACAAGAGGCTGAAATGATCACTGAAGATCAGATATTGCCTGACTTTCTTTCCTGCAGCTATCTTTCTTAGATTTCCAAGGTAATCTTTTCTGATATATTTTTTTCTGACCAAATAGTATATTTAAAGCTGACAAATTTTGCATTTGTTTTTTAATCATGCTCTCTAGGTACAAAGAAAGCCACACAAAATTAACAAAGATGTCCTTACTGATAAGGATGAAGAAAAAGGAATGTGGGATTACATTAAAAGGTAATTAATACCAAATATTTTAGCATGTAACTACATTTTTCTAGAGTCAACTATGTGGAAATGCTGAAAATGATAAAAATCTAACTAAGGTACAAATTTTCTTCCCTAGAAGGGCTAAGAATTTTATAGGTGTTAATACAAGATAGGAAACTGGAGCTATAATGCAGCTGAAAAAAATAATTTTCAAACCAGAGAATAAAAAGGATGTATCTAGCTAGGAGGAACCTCAGGAAGGTCTTCTTGGAAGAGTTTGTGGCCTAAGATCTAATCTAAAGGAAAGACAGTATTCATACTTTGAAGGTAAAGTGAGATGCCTGGCTACATGAAAGGAGGACTAGGTATGTTCCTCAAAGAACAGAAAGTACCCCAGCTCAGCTGTACACTGAATATAGGAGGAAAGTACTTTAAAAATAACAGTAATTGTAATATAACAACCATTGTTATTTTCCTGCTATCTTGTTTTGGAATTTTGTATTGATTTCATTGCTTTTTTGTTTATTTCCTTTTTTATTTTGTTTCTTTCTTTTTAAAATTAAAAAATATAGTGGGGAATTTACAAGTTACATTGTTAATCAAAAAAGAAATGTATTGGCTCACATGTATAATGAAACCAAGAATTCCCTGGCTTTGGGCATTCAGGCAAAAGGACCAAAAACTATCTTCATCTCTTAGCTCTGCTGTTGCTATGCCTCCTTCATTTTTCAGTATACTTTTTATGGTACTGGGAATCAACCTTGTACTTGCCAGGCAAGCAGTGTGCTGCTGACCCATGTTCCCAGCCCCACCCCCATGTGTTCCAAATTGAACTAATCACTGTGACTCTGACTTATCCATACTTGGGTCATGTCTGCCCCCAGATCCAGTGGGAAGCCGTATCCCTCCTAAATGTCATCAAATGAAATTGGAGCAGAATAGTTCCCCACAAAATACCACATCTTCCTTATTAAAAGAGAATTCTAGGCTGGTATAAACAAAAGTTGATCTTCTGTAGACCCACATTGTAGAGAACTTTTAAAGTCTGTAAAGATTTGAACTTTATTTGAATTGCAATGAGAAACCATTGTTCATTTTGGTCAGAGAGAAGAATACATATACACTTTAGACCAGATAGATTCCACAACCTAAACAAAATTTGTTAATACCAGATAAAACCATTTGTATCATTTATTTTGCCCAATGTAGGCTTCTTTTTCCATAATTGGCTTGATTGGAAAAAATAATCACATTTCCATCTCATGAATCAACTTTTTAAAAGTTTTGGGGCCAGGGAAATGGCTCAGTAGAATAAGCGCTTTCCTGGCAAGCACAAGGGTCTGAGTTCAATCTCCAGTTCCGCGGGGAAAAAAAAAAAAAAAAATTTGTCATAACCATTTGTACTTGGGAAAATATTTTCCTTGATGATTGCATTTCTTTACTTTTCCAAATCTTTGTCACTTTAAATACCTGTTTATATACAGATGAGGTTTATTAATTAAATAAAAATTTCAAAATTTTAAGTAATCTCTAACAACTATGAGCTATTAATATTAAAGGTGACAATATCACTTGAAGTTTTATGAGCTTTCATTTATAACATGAGATGCAATTAAACTGCCTCTAGGATAATGAGATAGTATCTATTATTATTTGTGAATCCCAAGAGTTCAAGAAATTAAATGTGAGTATCCCAAATAAGAGTGAATAATTTTTGCAGCTGAGATTAGACATACACAGAAATGAGATGGGGCTGATTCAGGCAGGTCCAGAAAGCTGTATCAGTTGGCTTTACCAAAGTACTGTGATATGGGCCAGGAAGATAGCTCAGTAAAATAAGTGCTTGCCTGGCAAGCACAAGGTCCTGAGTTCAATCCCTGGTACAACCAAAAAAAAAAAAAAGTACTGTAATATAAGCGGGGACTTTCCCTGACTTCCAAACTGCTCCTTCTCCTTCATGGAGGTCATGCAGACTATGAAGCCTCTCTCGCTTGCCATTGACTGGGAACAGTACCCAGTCAGAGGATGTCGACAATCCTAGGCAATTTTATATAATATTCCATCATCCTTGTGCCACCCACAGGCAACACCTAGACTGTGTCTTCATTACTGGTCTACTTAAAAGATTCTGTACACTAGCTAAGACCATGGCTGGTAGTAACTTGTTCTTGATTCTCAAAACAACTCTTGGGATTCACAAATAATAATAGATACTACCTCATTAACCTAGAGGCTAAATTAATTGCATCTCATGTTATAAATGAAAGCTCATAAAACTTCAAGTGATATTGTCACTTTTAATATTAATAGCTCATAATTGTTAGAGATTATTTAAAAGTCAAAACTATCCATTTTGAAAGTGATGTAAAACTTTTTTGAAAGGCGTTCTTATTTTTACTGTTCATCAAATTTAGTATTTAAGCATATAAAGTTTTCTAGTGTATATTAAGAAGCTGTCATTCATGTCTTTTTAATTTCCAGTTTTACAGGAAAGTTGCATGAAGATGATGAGCCAAAGGAAAAAGATATTCTAAACATTTTTTCAGTTGCTTCTGGCCATTTATATGAACGCTTTCTAAGGTATGTATGTCTTTCTCCAACATTTTGGAAATAATATATTTACATGGTCCTAAGTTCAAAAAGAATAAAGGATGTACATGAAAAAAAATCTCCCATTTATTTTTCCCTTGATACTTAGTTCCTTTTGCACAGAAAACCAATAGTGTCAAAGATATACTGTATCTGTAAACAAAAATTATATGGTTTTCTTTTTTAATTTCTTTTTATCCATGTAATAACAAAGAATACTGTTCTGCACTTATTTATTTACAATTATGAGGTAAATATATAATTTTTTATTTTATTGAGAAACAAATATCAATGAGACACTTTCCAAGCTGATTAATAGGACATTTTCAATAATTAATACATTGCACATTGCTATCTTCTCAGCAGTCATCCACAGCACAAGAAGCAGCCAGGACATCCCATCCAAATACTACTACTACAAATCCTTCCTTGCACTGAACCAAGTGAAAGCAGCCGTACATCTATCCTAACTATTCTGTATATACAGATACAAAATGGTCCTTCCTCTGTATCCCCCCTCTCCAGCTCAGTCCTGTCAGAGATGGGTATTCTATTGGCATCTAAATATTATAGGTGCTTGAATTCAGCAAAACAGTCCAACACAGTCCAGTAGTCTACAATATTAGCGGGGTATCCGGTATCCGCAGAAGTTGTTGACTAGAACTTTTACAGCTCAGCATATTAATATGGCTTTATTTTTATACCTCATTTTTATATTTTCTGCTGGATGGCTAAGACCAAGATAAAGCAAGACCCATATAACAAGAAGTGTATCTTTTGTATCTGACAAGGCCAATCAAGTCCCCTCAGGATTTATCCTGCAACCCTGTACTGCACTTTGTAGATCCTTTGTCAGTGTGAACCATGTGGATGAGTCACAGCCATGGCTTGACCAATTTACTCTCTGTGAAAGCTTGCTCTCTATGTGACTCTCCTTAGGCACACTATACATCATCAATCACATTCCTCTGTGGCTCCATAATCTCCTTGATCAGTAAATTTGGGGAATAACTGAGTTACATGATGTTACAGTACAGGTTCTCCTATGTCCTCAGTCTACACTGACCTTGAAAGGCTAGGGTAAAAATGTTAGTGGACCTTGGAGCTCTTCCTTTTTTTCCAATTTTTGCTCTACAAACTTAGGTTATTAACCCTCCAAAAGAGAAGCTTATTATTACCCTGCAACATAGGCAATTCAGGTTACCCTATCTGTGTAAATATCGAACATCTTAGGCATAATGTGGAACAGTTATCTTTCATCAAGTATTGATGTCTTTAAATGTAAGTCCTTGGGCCAGGGAGATGGCTCAGTAGAATAAGCGCTTGCCTAGCAAGTGCAAGAGCCTGAGTTCAATCCCCGGTTCCGCAAAAAAACAAAAACCAAAAAAAAAAAAAAAAAAAAAAAAAACAGTAAATGTAAGTCCTTACAGAATATGAAGAAAAAAAAATTTTTAAATAAGAAAAAGCACGTATTTTTACACAGAAATTTAGAAATCTAACCATATATAGCATTGTAGCAAGACAGTCCTGTGACATTTTTTTTTTCTTTTTCTTGGGTCTTTTTTTTTTTTTTCATTTATTACCCATTTAAAAACAGAAAAAAAAAAAAAACAACTTGTGAGACAGTATGGTAATAATTGGTATGACATGACAAGAAGTATGTATTTAGAAGACCAGAATGACAGGCATTCCAAGCATGACCCTTCTATTACACATTGCTAATCTCAGGGCAGTTGCTTGGTTCACAGGTATCAGCATATAAAGTTAGTCAGGTTGAGAATACTACCAATTAACTGCTAGTTTCAAAAACCTGCTGATGTTTCTCAGGATCATTGTCTTGCCCATCTTGTGCATACAAGTGTATGGCTTTGTCCCTGTCCTATTTCCCAGCTTTTTTGCTTGCCCTCTCCTCATTGTCCAGTCCTCAAGTTCTCGCTTTCCTTTTAGTTGTGTTATACCTTTCTATTTGTATTTCTTCTTTTGAATTCTTATACGAGGAAGACTATACAATATTTACACATGTGGGTCTGGTTTATTTCACTTATGAGTATATCTTCAAGTGGCATCCACTTAAATATAAATACTTCAAGTGTATCATTCTTTATATCTGAGTAATACTCCATTGTATAAGAATACCACATCTTTTCAACCATTCCTCATGTGACGGGCATCTTGGTTGTTTCCAAAATTTGGCTATCACAAATTGTGCTGCTATAAACACAGGTACATATATATCACTATAATATGACATTTTCAATTCCTCTGGGAAAATTCCCAGTAGGGGAATAGCTGGCTTGAATGGGATTTCCAGGCCTAGTTTCTTAAGGAGTCTCCACACTGATTTCCATAATGGTTGCACTGGTCTACATTCCTACCAGTAGTGGACAAGGGTTCCCTTTTCCCCACAACCTCTCCAACATTCGTTGTTGGTTGATTTGCTTATGCTAGCCATTCTTTGAGGTGAGATGGTATCTCAGTGTTGTTTTAAAATGCATTTCACGGATGGATAGTGATGTGAATCATTTTTTCATATATTTATTCGCTTCTTTAATTTATCCTCTGAGAAGTGTGTGTTCATCTCAGATGCCCATTTCTGAATTGGGTCTTTAAATTTAGGGGCCTTGATGTATTTTAGTTCTTTATAAATTTTAGAGAATAAACCTTTGTCTGAGTGCTTATTAGTTAAGATTTTTTCAAAATTTATGGGTTGTCTTTTCACTTTGTTGGTAATTTCTTTTGACATGCAAAAACTTCTCAATAAGAGTTGGTCCCAGTTGTCAATTCTTTCAAGTGTTAAAAATGCGATTTGATTTTTGTTCATGAACTCTTTGCCTACCCCTATGTCTTCAAGAGTTCCTCCCACTTTCTCTTCCAGGAGATTTCTGTTTTAATGTTTAGATCTTTAATCCATTTTGACATTAGCTTAGTACATGGTGATAGACCTGGGTCAAGTTTTAGTTTTCATCATGTAGAGAGCCAGTTTTTCCAGCACCATTTGTTAAAGAGGCTATCTTTCTTCTAGTAAGCGTGTTTGGCCCCTTTGTCAAAGATCAGGTAGCTGAGTGTGTTCATAGAGGCCTCTGCATCTTGTAATCTATTCCATTAATCATCAGATCTATTTTGTTGTCAATACCATGTTGATTTTATCACAGTAGCTTTGTAGTATAATTTCAAGTCAAGAATTGTAATGCATCCTGCCTTGTCTTTGTTCTCCAGGATAGCCTTTCCAATTGTAGGTCTTTTCTGGTTCCAAATAAATTTTTGGAACGATTTCTCTAGTTCTGTGAGGTATGTTGAGGGTAGTTTGATAGGGATTGCATTAACTCTGTACAACAAATTTGGGAGTATGGCCATCTTCACAATATTGGTTCGTCCTACCCCAGAGCAGGGAATATCTTTCCATTTTCTGAAATCCTCTACAATCTCTTTTTTAAGAGTACTGTAATTTTCCATGAAAAGATCTTTGACTTCTTTGGTTATGTGAATTCCAAGGTATTTCATTTTCTGTGGTGCTATTGTAAAAGGTATTGTTTCTATAATTTCCCTCTAAGTGTGTTTATCTGTGTAGAGGAATGCTATTGACTTTTGAGTGTTGACTTCGTATCCTGCTATGCTACTGAATTTGTTTATCAATTTTAGTAGCATCTTGGTGGAATTTTTTGGGTCTTCCAAGTAAAGTATCATGTCATCTGCAAATAATGATAATTTAACTTTTTTACCCATTCTTATTCCTTTTATTTCTCCCTCTTGTCCAATTGCTGTAGCTAATGATTGCAAAACTATATTGAATAGGAGGGGTGATAGAGAACATCCTTGTCTTGTACCAGATCTGAGAATAAAAGATTTCTGATTTTCCCCATTTAGAATTATATTAGCCGTTGGGTTGTCATAGATGGCTTTTATCAGATTGAAGTAGAGGCCTTCTATTCCAATTTTTTGTAGGATTTTGAACATGAATGAGTGTTGGACTTTGTCAAAAGCCCTTTCTGCATCAATGGAGATGATCATGTGGTTTTTAGATTTTGCTCTATTAATATAGTGTATTACATTTATAGATTTTCAAATATTGAACCATCCTTGCATCCCTGGGATGAATCCTACCTGGTCATGGTGTATGATCTTCTTTGTTGTATTCTGTTTGCTAGGATTTTACTGAGGATTTTTGCATCTATGTTCATGAGCGAGATTATCCTGTAGTTCTCTTTTTTTAATTGTGTCTTTCCTTGGTTTTGGAATCAATATAACACTTGCCTCCAGGAATGATTTTGGGAGGACTGCTTCCTTTTCAATTTCATTGATAAGTTTGAGGGGTGTAGGAATTATATCTTCTGTAAATTTCTGGTAGAATTCAGCTGTGAATCCATCAAGACCTGGACTTTTATCAGCAGGCTTTTTATTACATTTCGTATTTCATTAACTGTTATTGGGTTTTTGAGAGTTGTTGTATCTTTTTGATTCATAAGTTTCTTTGCCAGCTAGAATAAACAATCTAGTCTATATCAAAATGTCTCCATCTTTACATAGTATGTATTTGATCAAGGATACTTCAGTTTGGTTTATTTCAGTTTATAATGAAAAACTTCTAATTCCTACCCTAAAATATTTAAAAGCCTCTTAAAAAGTAAGATGAATGTTAATTATATTGGGTTTGATATTCTTTCATACAGAATTATGATGCTTTCTGTTTTACGTAACACCAAAACACAAGTGAAATTCTGGTTTTTAAAAAATTACCTCTCACCATCATTTAAAGTAAGTATATTATTATTGTTATAGAATGAATAATATTTGAATAATAAACTTTATAATAATAATGTTCTCTTTTGAAAATAAATATTTATATATATTAGTAAATTTTAAAACAATATTTTTAATCTAGCTCAAGAAAATTTCTTTTCAATTTTTATTTAAAGAAGTATTTAAAGTAAATATATAGAAGAAGAGTTTATCTGTGAGTAAAACCAAATCAGAGTGCTTAATGGTTTTTTATAAACTAATTTTACTGTATCTTTTCCATGTTTAAATATACAAATGCTTGCTATTATGCTTTGTTACCTACAGTATTCACTCTGTACAATAATAGACTATACAGATTTGTAGCTTTGGAGCAATCAGTTGTAAGATACAACCTATATATGTAGTGGGCATGCCACCTCAGTTTGTGTAAGCAACTCTAACCACATCATTGTGCTGCAATGTCATTGACCCATGGCTGTACTTCTAATTCAACAAAAACAATGTTGAATGAGATGTCAGATATTTAGACCTCACTATCTTCTATTTTTGTCTTAGTCATCTCAAATATGAAACCTTATGGAGAATCTAGTTTATCAATTTACACTTCATTTTGTGTTCATTATATATACACTCATTTCCGTTTGTCTCTCTAACCAAGCACCATATTGACACATTGGTAAGCTGTGTGGTATTTGTGCATTCCAAGATCAGAGGCATTTTTTTCCAGAATCAGGTTTTCTCAAGTCAGACACAAGTAGTAAAAAGTATGAAAACATTTATCTTAGCCAATAATGACATACTTTAATGACATTAAACTATATAGTTCAACACACCTTGTATCTTTGACAGAATTAAAGAAGAATGCTGTTCCCTTTTTCCATTATTCTGCCAAAATACTTTAGATGTTCAGGGTTTTTTTTCTTTTCAAAGTTTTATTGATAAACATATAGCAATGAGACAGTTTCAAATCAAATCGAAAGTACAGTTTCAACAAATAATACACTGCATATATTCTTAGATGTTCAGTTTAGAAGGAGCAAAGGTTTACTTTGGCTCACAGTTTTGGAGGTTTGAGTCAGTCTGTGTTGTCTTTTTTTTTTTCAGTGCCAGAGATTGAACTCATGACCTTGCACTTGCCAGACAGGCACTTATTCTACTGAGCTATCTCCTGGCCCCCAGTCTGTGGTGTTTTAACAGTTGCTTTCAGCTGTAGCAACACATGGTGGAGGAGGCCTGTTATTTCATGTCAACCAGGAAGTGAGAAAGGGAAGCAGGCCATGCTGAGATCCCACTCAAGGCACACCATTAGTGACCTGACTTGCTTCTCCTGGGCTCCACTTCCTGTAGGTGCCCCCACTTCCTGGCAGCACCACATCCTGGTAACCACAGGCCTTCAGGAGATGCTTACAAACCATAGCATAGATACAGTTCATACAAGTGGTATTTAGACATTTTTCCAGTTGGTTTATAACAATCTATAAGACTCTTTTTAAAGTATTCTTTTTCTTCTGTAACATAAAACTTTCTCCTATTGTTTGATTTTACATGTACGTTTTAGGAGATAATTCCTCACATGGCTAAGCAATATGGATTCCAGTATGAACTGGTTCAGTATAAATGGCCCCACTGGCTTCATCAACAGACTGAAAAACAGCGGATTATTTGGGGTTACAAAATTCTTTTCCTTGATGTCCTTTTTCCACTAGCTGTGAACAAAATCATCTTTGTTGATGCTGACCAGGTAATCAGTTAATTCTTGTTTTTAGTAGCAATCATGCTTTTTTATACTTCTATCTGAATATTAGGACTTAAATTATATGTTACTCCTATTTATTGTCTTTGTTGCCATACTGTGTAACCATGTCAATAACAGTGCAACAATGAAGCACCTTTAGAACACATCCTGAGGGGCAGGAGGCATAGCTCAGCAGTCTAAGGGACTGCCTGCCAAGTGTGAAGACCAGAGTTTGATCCCCAGTACCTCATGTGTGCTGCCCCCCTGCGCAGAGCCAGCTACCAAAACTGGATGTCGTGGTACACACCAGTAATCTCTGTGCTGGGGAGGCTGAAACAGGAGACCCACTACGAGTCTGTGTTGTATGGCAAGACCTTGTAACAAATAAGTAAATAATTTAAAAAAAAAAAAAGAACACATCCTCAGGATTCCAGGGGAGAAACTGAAGGTATTGCAAAAGGTACCATTTTATTACATAGGATGTAGCAGTTTTCTATCTAATTAGCAATATTTATGTTTCGGGATGAAAACAAATGGTTTTAATCACAAGAGTAGTTATATAAATTTCTATGACTACAAACTAATTTTTTGGTTTTGTAATCAGTGTATTAAGAAGACTTTCATACGTTTTAACAGTTGCTTAAATTCTGATACCCAGAATAAGCATGTGAACATATGACTTTTTTAAACATACAAGTAAAGCTGTTCATCATAATTTGCTATACTAATGCCATTAAATTACAGTTACTTTGGAGCATTAAGTCAAATGGGTTAAAGTAAGCTTGTAACATACCTATGGAACACCTTCTTATATTGCACATGCAAATTACCTTTCCATGTAGTCTCTTCACTTTAATTTCAAAGACACTCAGCTGTGAAGTCACAACTCAAGCGTTTATCATGTTCCAGAGAGAAGGGAAAAACAATGTAACAAGGATTGGTCAACAATTTTACATATGTATTGAAAAACATGACACAGCAGAAAGGACTGCAGTCCTAGAAATGGAGGCCCTTAAGAATCAGCATTATGATAAACCCCTTCTTTAGAAAGGTATCATTCCTATCACTGTTACCACAAGCTAAATTATATTTTATGCCACCTTCAAGTAATAGTTGAGGCAGTAGAATGCAGAGGCATCGCAACAAGTCCCACTTAATACAAGTAACTATAGACAGACCAACACTTCCACAAAGTGTTTGCTTTTTCTGATTGCTACTTACATACAATTTTAATCCATAGCTTAACAATGAAGGTTCATACACTAAAGTCAACACATATATCTAGCATTTCAGTCTAAGCTTGTCCATGTATACAACTGAAATCAATTATAAGACATGGCCCAACAGACACCAGGGTTAGGGACTCTTTACAGGCATGAAGTTTCATCTTGCACACTGAAGTCATTATACATACAGGTCAAAGTTGGAGCTTTTGTATTTGTGTTTATTCTTCATTTACCTTTTGAAACACTACTATAATTGAATATTGAAACAAAAACAGTAGTGAGTATGTGATGATTCTAGTCCTTCACACACTCACTACTGCACACTACATGCTAATAGTGAGAGCATTATTCACTAGCTCCATTAAAATGTCTGATGTTGAACACTACCTCTGGGATGATGTTCGTCATCCTCATAGTCTTCTCCAGTATAATGGTGCCATCTTTCCTGATTTTGATCAAAGTCTACCAGTTCTACCTGATTCATTTCATCAATCTCTTCTACTTCCTTCCTGTCAGGTAAGAGTTTTTCCAGCAATGAGATTTCATCAGGAGAGAGAAAGCCATTTTCAGGAAAGTTTACCTTAAATTTAGTGATTAGACGACCCTTTTCATATGCCCTACAATAAATTGCCATGCCTTCACTTAGCACACACTTGATGTCTCCATGCTTGACAATTTGACCTGGATAAGAGGTGATGACTATTGTTTGGTTGTCAAGAATGGATATTGGCTTTTGGAAGCCACACAGTGCTTCAACTAGCTGTATATCCATAAAGAGATCTTGTTGAGTAAAAACAGCATGGTCCTTCTGATCTAACACAATGATAATATCTGCAGGCTCCAGCCCTGGTTCTTGGTCTCCTTCACCATGGAATGTTATCTTCTGGCCATTTTTCATGGCTTTGTCAATATAAACTTCTAGAGTCTTCTTTTCTCTGTCTTCCTTCTGTTGCAGCTCTTACATCTGTCCTTAAAGCTGAAGCGTCCTCCATAGCCCTGGCACTCCATGCATAGACTGAATTTGCTGAACCATTCCAGGTCCTATCTGATGAATTATTTGCATTCCAGGACCTCAGCAGTTGGGACAGCACCCACAGCTCCTTTCTTACCACCTCGGCCTTCGCATTTGTCACAAATCACATTCTTTTGCAGAGCCAATTTCCTTATGGCAGTATTATATAAAGCTTCTAAAGTAATTGAGAGCACCACATTTTTACCTCTCCTTTCTCTCTGCATCCTTCCTCCTACTCCAAAAAAACATATCAGAGATATGGGAAAGACAAAACCACCACCTACTCCACCCTACTTAATTGCTTGCTCTCCTCTTTTGTCATATAATTCCCTTTTCTTGGCATCAGAGAGAACTTCATAAGCTTGAGAAATCTGTTTAAACTTTTCACCTTCATTTGGATTCTTATCAGGATGGTACTTCAAAGCCAGTTTCCTATAAGTCTTTTTTAGTTCTTCTTGGGTGGCACTGGGTTTGACCCCCAAAACATCATAATAAGTCATTTCTTTCACCGTTTTCTACAGGCAATTAGCAGGCTGGTCCATCATGGGGTAAGCAGGCAGGAGGAGCACATAGCCATGCACAGGTCGAGCAGCCACCACTCCTCCACCTCTCAGCATGTTCTGGAAATTTTTTTTTAATTGGCTATTTCTTTTTGCTGGAAAATTTAGCAATTATGTATAGCTGTCTTCTCATTCTTCTGCCTTTAGTAGTATTCTTTGACATTTAACCAATAACCAAGTTCTCATCAATTTCTAATAACTGTGATAAGTAAATATGTATTACAAATCAAGTACATATATTAGAATTTATGTACTTAGGACAAAAAAATGTATTTTATATGCTATATTAGAAATGTAGTACTCATAGTGTAAAATATTGTTTGCATACTATTTTTCAAATTAAAAATAATTAACCATTATAATAACTAAAAAATAGGCAAATATAAATGATGAAGTAGGCATTTTTGAACATACTGTCTACTATACTTTTTTCTCATCTTCTCCCACAATATATAACTAATATTTTTCCAACAGGTTTAAATCAATTACAAAATAAACATGCTAACATTATGCCATTAAAGTTATGTAGAGTAATCTGAGATTTGTCTTTGTAATTCAGATTAATATTTTCTAATACATAATAATGGATGTTTATGATAAGATGGTTTTTAATTATTAATTTGCATGAGAGCCTAAGGACTAGGTACTTATCTGGTATTTAACCTTTTCCAAAATATCTTGCTTAAAAATGATACAAAATACTCTTATTTATAAACCACTGTTACATAGACTAAGGATATAAATTTCATATTTTTTTTTAATCTGTGGAAACAAGAGGAAAAAACTTAGTAAATTCATGTTACATGAAAGCAGTATAAGTAAAATGCAACTGTCTGTATCTCTACAGTCATGTAATATTTGAAATTCCTATTAAAAATGCTTCTGTTCTTTAATAGTCTTTATCACAGACTATTTTAATTACTTAGGTTGTGAGGCATGACCTAAAAGAACTTCGCGACTTTGACCTGGGTGGTGCTCCCTATGGGTACACTCCCTTTTGTGATAGCCGCGCCAACATGGAAGGGTATCGTTTCTGGAAAACAGGATACTGGGCATCACATCTTTTAGGAAGGAAGTACCATATCAGGTAAGAAAATGCATACTCTCACCATTTAGTAAATAAAATACCTTTGCTTAGAAAGTACACAGTAGGGCTGGTCAGGTAGCTCAGCAGATTAAAGTGCCTGCTTTGGCAGACACAGGGACCAGGGTTTGATCCTTGGCATGCCCTATCGGCCCTGCCCCTGGGTCGCCCTGAGACAGCGATTGAGACTGGGCAAGGTGGTGTGCCTGTAATCCCAGGTCTTGAAAGGCTGAAAACAGGAGGATCACTACCGATCCAATCTGTGTAGTGAGACCCTGTAGACCCTGTACTAATACATTAAAAAAAATTCTTAAAAAAAGGTAAAATTATAAAAAAATAAAAAATAAATTACACAGTAAATGATAACCAATTGCATAAGACTATGTGCCAGTCACTTTTATAAGCCTTTGTGTATATTAACTCATAAAATCCTTATGACAGCCTTTATTATTACAACACTATTATCACCTCCAAAGCATATATGTAGAGACTGAAATATTCAACATGGATGTAATTTTCCCAGACTTACCATCCTAGTGCACAGGAGCCAAGGTTTAAATCTAAGCATGGCTCAAGTATATGTTCCTTACTCCTGCAGAAACTTTAAGCTTGGTTTGTCAGATAAGATGAAGATAATGTTCAAAGCTGTTACATTGGAAGCTCATGAGTTTCATGACAACTTGGAAAAAATTCAGGTGACCTTGAAAAAACAATCAATCTTACCACAATTTCAACAAAGTTTTAACTCCATAGAAACAGTTTTATACATTGGGAGCAAAAGAGGCTGATTATTATTAAATGCTAGCATGTCTATAGTTAAACCCATCACTGTAGACATTCACAGGGGAAAAGTAAAGGTATTTAAATGCAAGTACTTGTTGATGTGAAACAGCAGCAGGAATGAGAAGAAGATAGACAAGGTAAGAGCTGGGTCCGGTGGAGGCCCATTGCCTGATTGGCAGTTAACCAGAAGAACAACAATAAACTTGTTTATACTTTTGCAAAATTCATATCATGTAACTCAGGGTTACCTAGCAACTAATGGCTGAAACTGTTCAGGTACGTTGAGGCAACTTGACTACTGTAGGCACTGTGGCCTTGTCCTGCCCTCCCACATATGACCAATTTCTAGCTTCAGCCACTCCCAATATGTATGCTGTATAAGCTATCAAGGAGATTACAGGGCTGGGCACATAGCTTAGTGGTAGAACTCAGGCCTAATATTCATGAATTCAATCCATACTACTGCCAACAAAAAAGAAAAGGAAATGTTTTATTTTTGTAGTGCCTTATACGTGGTGGATTTCAAAATATTCAGGAGAATTGAAGCAGGTGACAAGCTCAGGGGCCGATACCAAGCTCTCAGTCAAGATCCAAACAGTCTTTCAAATCTAGATCAAGTAAGTAAAGTGTTGATAGAAAAAGCTGAATGTATATGTATGGATTACTTAAACTCCCTGTATATAAACCTCAGAATTATTTTCAACTTTTTAAAAACTTTTTCCTTTTATGTAAATATCTCACCACATAATTTTTCAATCCACACTCAGTATTTTTACTATCAATAGTATTATAACTTCACATTTCTGTTCTCAAACCTCTTTTTTCCTATGTCATATCTCATTTAATTACCCTCTTTTTCTTAATTTCCTCCATCCTTATTAAACATGCTTAGTCCTTAATATCTTCAGACAAACTTCTTCCCTCCAGTTTTCACTGGAGGGTGCCCTACATTTTCTCCCTCCCCCACACACACACACCTTTCTCTCCCTTGCACAATTAAATTCTTCATTATTGCCTCTGTAACATTGTAGATAATTTAAGAATTAGCACCTGCTTTGGCAAGCGCAGAGACCAGGATTCAATCCCCTGTCCTGCATGCCACGCTGGGCCTGCCCCGGGACGTGCTCAGCTGGCGACCAAGTCTGGGTGTGGTAGCGCACACCTGCAATCCCAGCACTGGGGAGGCTGAAAAGAGTAGGATAACTGAGTCCAAGCTGCGTAGTGAGACCCTGTACCAAATAGATTTTAAAAATGGAGAATAAAAAGGAAGTAGCAAAAGATCCTGCAGCCCATAATCTCGTATTCTCTTTTTTTTTTTTAATTTATTTTTTTCCAAAGTTTTATTGATTTTTTTTAATTTTTTTTTTATTTTATTTTTGGGTAGTGCCGAGGATTGAACCCAGGGCTCTGCGCATGCTTGGCAAGTACTCTACCACTGAGCTGTATACACACCCTTCGTATTCTCTTATCCTAAGAGCCATGCTATGTATTCATTTAGCAAATACCTGTCTCAAATGTTCTGTGTGCCAGATCATCTGCCAAGATCTGAGACAACAAAAAACAAAAACAAAAACTCTTGAATTCGTGATGCTTTTGATCCTGATTGTTACTTTTTAAAAAGTGAAAGTAATGAATGTTTTAGAGGAAAAATAAAGAAAGAAAAGCATAATAGGGAACCGGGGAGTTAGCTCAGCAGTCTAAGCACCTGCCTGGAAAAAGCAAGAACCTGGGTTCAATCCCCAGTACTGCGTGCCATGCCAGCCTCGCACCTTGCTGGCCACCAAAACCAGGCATGGTGGCTCATGCCTGTAATCCCAGCACTGTGGAGGCTGAGACAGGAGGATCGTTATGAGTCTTGAGCAGTGTCGCAGCAAGACCCTGTACCAAATAAATAAATAAATATTTTTTAATTTAAAAAAAGGAAAGCATGATAGAGACTTCAGAATATGAATAGAGCTTGGAGTTTGTAGCTGTCAGCTAAGTACCCATATGTTCCTACAAAGGTTACATGTGAGTGAATTTGAGGTGGAGGCATAGAAGTGAGACAGGAGGATCGTTATGAGTCTTGAGCAGTGTCGCAGCAAGACCCTGTACCAAATAAATAAATAAATAAATATTTTTTAATTTAAAAAAAGGAAAGCATGATAGAGACTTCAGAATATGAATAGAGCTTGGAGTTTGTAGCTGTCAGCTAAGTACCCATATGTTCCTACAAAGGTTACATGTGAGTGAATTTGAGGTGGAGGCATAGAAGTGGGCGTACTGCTGTCTCTACAGACAAAGTCCTAAGATAGGCTGGAGAAATGGCTCAGTGGTATAAGTGCCTTCCTGGCAAGGACAAGGTCCTGAGCTCGATCCCCAATACCAAAAGTAAAAAAGTCCTAAGATAAGAATGGGCTTTACATATTTGAGAAATAGAAAAATGCAACTTGAATAAAATTAGGTTGTGAGAGATACAGCATGGGAAATAGAGGTAATGGATGGTGCAGAACATGTAGAAAGTTTAAGCCTTTTGTTTAAAATTCTAGTAAATTGAAAATTATAGGTCTTGTGACTTCAATACATATGAATTACTTAAGAGGACATTGGTAAAGAACTAATAAAAGTCATTCTTGAAAATTAGAGGGACTCTGAATATATGCATACACACATGCATTAACATACAAAGTAAAATCTTTTCAGTATTACTAATTAGTAAAAAAAAAACTGGCTTAGAATCCCCACTAAAGTCTAATAATTTACAGATTTAGATTATGCAGACCCCACTAGTTATTTATACAGGACCCTTAGTCTTATATATGCAGTAAAAGTGTGTGATTAAGGAAAGAATTCATTTTATAAGCATTCCAAAAATTAGGAGATTTTCCTAACACTGGATTACCACATTTGGGAGATGATTGCTTTATTCTGATGGTTTGACTTTCATTCCTGTCAGCACACTGAACAGTTCTTATGAGAGTCAGATTATCTTTTTATCCCTTGGCAGCTGCAAAGAACATCCAGTGAGCCCTTTGCAATATGGATATTTTCAACTTCTGCTCTCTTGACATTCTGCCCTGCTTTCAGTGATGCCAGATTGTCGTGATTCTTCCCTGACCTGTGTGGCTTTCCTAAAACAGTTGTATTGGTGAACTACCTTTTCCTCTGCCTTTCAAATAAATGTTGCTTTTCTCTAAGTCTGTCCTTGGCTCCTTTCTCATTCTGTAACAACTATGTTAGCAAACTTTTCACTTTAATTTTCTGTCTTTCTACTAAGTAATACACAATTTTATCTCTGAATAGTTCCTCTCCTCTGAATGCCAGACTCATACAGTAATACCTCGGTTTACAAATGCTTCTGTTTGTCAGTCATTCATTTCTCAGAAGTGTTCAACAAAATTTTGCTCCAATTTATTGGATGATGAAACACAACAATGGCCATCTTTCCACATAAAAATATGGCCACCTTCCCCAAAATCATAAAAAAGTTAGTTCCTGACTGAGGTATCACTGTATTAAATCCACTAATATAACCACATTAATGCCCCAAATGATCTCATATTTAAAAATGAAAAATTCAACTTCTTTATCCTCAACTGTTTTCTGCTTTTGCAAATCACCTAGCTGTCACAGGTTGTATACTACTGAAACAAACTGAGGACACCGGAACTTAGCTTTTAAAAAGTCACTTAGGGCCTGTGGAGATATCTCGGCAGCCTAAGCATCTGCCAGGCAAGTGCAATGACCCAGGTTTAATGCCTGGTACCGTATGCTGTACTGGCCTCAAAAGTCCAGGCATGGCCACCAAAACCAGGCATGGTGGCACAAACCTATAATCCCAGTGCTGGAAAAGGAGAAAAAGGAGGATCACTGCGAATCCGTGCTACATATTGAAACCTTGTGCCAAATAAATAAATAAAGGGGTTTTTAAAGTTAATTAGGGCATGCTGTCTAAACCAACAGCCTCAGAGGAAGAAAGGAAATAGAATTAGGGAAAGTTTACAGATTGAAAAGAGACCACAGATTCAAGGAAGAGGACAGATCCTACCCAGAGCTCTGAAACTGAGATGGCCCTTTAGAGCTGAGACGGCACAAGTTTGATCAAGTAACCCAGGCCTTTCTTCCCTTTCATCAACTAATGACTAGATATAGGCTTGCCCAGAAGAGGGACTGACCTTGTATGAGACAGCTGCTCCCGGGGCAGCTCCTCACACAGACTGAGTTGAAAGTTGTCAGGGAGCAGCATTCCCACAAGTGAGGAAACATTTTCAAATTTGAATGGAGGTATGGATGCTGCATCACTACATCTACCATAGTATGTGAAAGGAAGAAGTGAAATTATCATTATTTGCAGATGACATGATACTCTATACAGAAGAGCAAGAGAAAACTATAGCAAAATACTCCTAGATTTAATAACCAAATTCAGTAGCATAGCTGGATACAAAGTCAGCACTAAAAAATCAATAGTATTCCTGTATACAAACAAACTTAGAAATTAGGAAAATCACACCTTTCATAATACCAATGAAAAAAAAATGAAATTCTTTGGAATCTGTCTAACAAAGTAAAAGACCTCTACATTGAAAGCTGCAGTACTCTAAAAAAGGAGATCAAAAAGAATTTCAGTAAATGGAAAGCTAGCCTTTGCTGTTGGGTAAGAACCAATATAGTGCCAATGGCCATACTCCAAAAATTGTTCTGTAACCTCACAAGACCAAAATACTGAAGCTCACAGAATCAGAGAAAATAATCTTTTAATTCATTTAGAACCAAAAGAGACCTACAATAGCAAAAACAATTCTGGATAATAAGGCAGAGCAAGAGACATCATAATTCCTGACTCGAAATTGTATTACAAAGCTACTGTGATAAAAACAACATGGTACTGGCCCAAGAAAACAGACTCAAGGATCATTTTAGAAACAGATTAGAAGATACAGAAACAACTACAAACACGCTCAGCCACTTTATCTTTGACTAAGAAGCCAAACATGTTTATTGTAAGAAAGCTTTTTTAATAACCGGTGCTGGAAAAGCTGGATTTCCACATGCTAAAGATTAAAATAGACCTGTGTCTTTCTCCGTGCACTAAACTAAAATTGAAATGGATCAAAGATCTAAATATTAAAACAAATACTAAATCTGCTGGAAGAGAGGATAGGTAGAACTCTTGAAGAAACAGATAGGTAAAGATTTTATGAATAAAATGTTGCATGGGAAACATTACAAAGGTTCAACAACTAGGATCTCATTTTATTAAAAGACTTTTGCACAGCAAATTAAATCATCAACAATGAAGAAACAACCCACAGAGTGGGAAAAACCTTAGCCAGCTGTTCCTCAGACAGAAGACTAATTTCTAGAATATAAAAAGAATTCAAAACTTTCACTCCCTCAAATTTAAAGACCCAGTCCAAAAATGAGTGCCTGAAATGAATAGATATTTCCCAAATGAAGTAGAAACAACAACTAAGTGTATGAAAAAAATGTTCAGCATTACAGTTATTTGAGAGATGAAAATTAACACAATGCTGAGATTCCATCTTACTCCAGAAAGAATGGCTATCATCAAGAAATAACAAATGTTGGCAAGGCTGTGGGGAAAAAGGAACACTTCTCCACTGTTGGGATAGACTGATGCAACCACTGAAGAAATCAGTGTGGAGATTCCTCAAAAAAACTAAAACTAGTGGTTCTATTTGACCCAGCTATCCCTCTTCTTGGTATCTTTCCAAAAGAATTAAAAACATCATACCATAGCAATATGTATGTACCCATTTTTATAGTAGCAGTTAAATCTTGGAAACAGCCAAGATGCCCATCAACTGATAAATAACTAAAGAAGATTTTTTTATAGAGAACAAAATAGTATTAAAACAAAAATTACAAGTGATGCAGACTTTAGCTTAATGAATATGAATTTCACTTAATGAAATAAGATGAATTTCACAGTATTTGTTGTAGTACATGATATTGTCTTCCAACCAGTGATTCATGTTACCAGATACATTAATGCAAAATTGGTAGAAAAATGAAAAAAAGAAAGAAATATCTAAGAAATTAAGAAGAGAAAAAGGAGAAACAATTGAAAAACAGAGACAAAACAAATTAAGCATTATTTGCTCCTTTCCATAGGCCAGCAGAAATCCACAGTAGTTATCCAAACCATCCTGTTTGCATACATAAATATATTTCCCCCACTCCCTCTCCTGCCCTTCTCTTCAACTCAGTAACTCTTCCCTTTTGAATAAGTTCATCCCTTTTCCCAGAATCTATTATACCCTTCAGATTCCATTTTCTCTTTCAGGTTCTCACACCAAGGAGACAATATGATGTTCGCACATGTGGGGCTGATTTATTTCAGTTAGGAATATGGTCTCTAGTTGCATCCATTTGCCAACAAAAGTCTCAAATTCTATTTTATAGCTGAATAATACTCTGTTGTGTAAAAATACCACAACCTTTTTTTTTTTTTTTTTTTTTTTTTGTGGAACCAGGGATTGAGCTCAGGCCCCTGTGCTTGCCAGACAAGTGCTTATTCTACTGAGCCATCTCCCTGGCCCTAACAACTGTGATCTTAATGAGATTGAGCCTTACTATTCATGGATATAGAACACCTCTACATTTGTTTATTTCTTCTTTGGATTTCTTTTGTCAAATTTTTGTAGTTTTCCTCATAGAGTGCTTATAGCTGTTAGATTCAGACCTAAGTATTTCATGTTTTGGATATTTATATAAATGGTATTATATGTCTTTTTAAAGTGTTTAATTTATTGGTACATTTTACATATAGTGATATTTATGGAGAATTCATACCTGCACATGATCGATCTTAATTCTTTCCCATTTTTCTACTCTACCTTCAATGCCTCTTCCCTTCCTTATTTACAAATGTTTGTTTCCATTTATTCATTTACTCTTTCTGGCAAGAGCAAGGGTCTGAGTTCAATCCCCAGTTCCTCAAAAAAAAGATCACAATTGTTTCCAGGTCAACCAATATATTCAATGCATAAAAGTATTATCACATTAATTTATGGATCATGACTGATGCTAATTTTCTTTTTTAGAAAATGAGAGAAGAATCAAAATAGCCAACACAATAATGAAGAACAATAAAGTCACAGGACTAATGCTGCTAGATTAAGAGTCTTACCTTGAAGCTGTAACAGTGTGTTATTAGCAGAAGAATACACAAATAGATCATTAAAATGGAGCCCAGAAATAGACCCTTACAGAAATAGTCAGTTGATCTTTGTATATATGCTACCAAAGTGAGCAAAAGTCAATTGATCTTTGACAGCAGAGCAAAAGCAATACAGTAAAAATAGTCTTTTGATAAATGCTGCCTTTCTCTTACAAGCAAGTGGGTATTATACTTGTGAAAATAAAACAATAATGCAGTTATAGAACTTAAATCCCTCACAAAAATTAACTAGAAGTGAATCTTGGCCCTAAATATAAACATATAAGACTATGAAATTCCCTATAAATAACATAGGAGAAAATAGATGAGCTTCATTTGGCAAGATAGCTCAATGGTCTAAAGCACCTGCTTAGGCAAGCGCACAGGGACTGTGGTTCGATCCCTGGCACCACATGCTGCGCCAGCCCCACCCCCAGGGTGGGCTGAGCTGGCCACGGGGGGGGGAGGAAGAGGGGAAAAAGGTATGTTCATGTATGTAAGCAGGATAGTTTGGATAATTGTACTACTGCTTTCTACTAGTCTAGTGAAAGGAACAATTTATGCTTACATATTTGTTATTTTTTTCTTTTTAATTTCTTATACCTTTCTCTTTGATAATGTTTTGTTCTGTTTTTTAACCAGTTTTTCAGATTTATACCTGGTAACCTAAACAACTAATTTGAAGATAACATCATTCAATACAGCAAACAATGTTGAATTCCTTCTACTTTGTTCAATGAAATTTTGTATCATTTCTAATACTTTTTTTAAAGAGGAAAACAACTAAACAACAAAGACAAAAACAAAGAGACATAGAATAAAAATGGTACAGAATTTCAAAGCAAGAATAAAAAATTAACAATGGTTGTTATATTACATATTATCAAATTTGTTACTCAGATTATCAGATATAGGCATGACAAAATGATCAAGCAGTTAAACATTGTCTCCCTTTCACTAAACCTTAATTTTTTCCTTGTCCTTTTTAGTTTTTAGTTTTTAATTTACTTTAAAGAGAGTGTAAGAATAATAGATGAGACATTAAAGAAACAACATAAGGAATAAACAAGTGAGATGAGGGAGAGGAGAAAGGAAAGAAAAATGGAAAAGGAGAAAAACCATGGAAGCGTATACACAGGACAACCTAGATGATTGTACTAATAACTTCTATTAATTTTTTTAATTGACAACATTTTATTACAGCACTAAGTTATTTTGTATCATTTTAGCCCCTTAGAAGGAGTAAATGTATTCTTACTTTCTTTTTTTTCTCCACAGTTTCACTGAGAAACAAATAGCAATGAGACAGCCTCAAATCAAATTGGCAGGACAGTTCCAACAATCAATATTTAAATTTTTTACTGTGACCAACTCTATATGTTAATATCTGTCATATGAGCAACTTCATAGAGGACAGCAATGCATAATCTAATGCTTTTTTTTCTATTTTGTATTCTTTAAAAATGAAATATGAAGATACCGGAAGTTTATGTGTGCTTTTGTGATCTCTTTGCCATCTAAGTGATATCTTCAGTTTCTTTCTCTCCCTAATAAACGTACTTCCACATTTAAATTTTTCTCTAGGACCTTCCCAATGACATGATCTACCAGGTTGCCATTAAGTCCCTTCCACAGGACTGGCTGTGGTGTGAAGCCTGGTGTGATGACGAGTCCAAGCAGAGAGCCAAAACAATTGATCTGGTGAGTGTGTCTTCACTTCAGATAATCAGATGTGAAGATATTGAAAGACATATTTTCTGTTAACCAGATGTGGAAATGTTCAAACAGAAATATTTTCTATTTTACAAATTAGTAACACACACAGTAGTGTTTCCTTGAGTTGGCAAGCAGAAGGCTGTGTTCAGGCCCCTGAGGCCACCCTTCGGGTTTGCTAACTGGTGAGGAAGCTTCACAGGGTACACAATGTACTTGTACTCATGCTCATGAGTTATTACAGTGAAAGGATACAAAGCAAAGTCACCAAGGAGAGGAAGCACACGCGGTAAAGAGATCACAAGTGTCACCCAGTGTGGTGGCACACGCCTGTAATCCCTCACTTGGGAGGCTGAGGCAGGACTGCCATGAGTTCAACACTAGCCAGAGAGAGAGAGAGAGACTGTCAAAAATAAGTGAATTAATGATAACAAGCATCCTCTTAATATCAAGTCACACAGGACAAACAATTCCTCAAGCAATTCCTGGTGTTCCTCAGGCATGTGAAGCATTGCCTACCAAGTAAACTTATTAGAAACCCAGGGCCCACAGTTTTTATGGGGGACCAGTCACCACATAAGCACTTTCTGCCTGCCATAGACCAGATTCCCAATTCTCAGAAGATATGCAGGTTCTTAGCATAAACCATGTTTGTGAAAAGCACTTACGGCCCAGTGACTCACGCTCACCATAAGATGATGGCACTGCCCTGGGAACTACATTTTTAGGGGCCAGCCTAAAGCAAACTAAATTTACAGTCAGGTGCTTCTTAGACTAAGTTTTGAGCTTGCTATGTGTCTTAATTACTTTTCTTTTGTTGCTGAAATAAAATACTTGACCCCCAATATTAGAGGGGCCAAAGTTTGTAGAGGTTTCAGTCCAGAATTGGCAAGGTGGCTTGGCAGAGGAGCATCATAGAGGAGAAACAGTTCATGGCAGCAGAAGAAAACAAAATCAAGCACCAAACCGCAACAGCATCTTTCTGCCCCTTTTATATTCTATCCAGGCTGCTGGGATTAGGACGGTGCCAATCCAGTCAGTGGACCATCCAGCAATTGCCCAGCCTTAATCCCAGCATTGCAACAAGTTGATCACGAACTATAGATTCAGCTGCTTAAAAAAAAACTCCATCTAAAAGTACATGAGGCTTTAGGGGACAGCTAGACATGAACCAATCTCATCTACCCAAAGTCTTTTGAAAAAAAGACCATGAGGAGCCAGGGAGATAGCTCAGTAGAATAAGCACTTGCCTGGCGAGCGCCAGGGCCTTTAGTTCAATGCCCAGTTCCACCAAAAATAAAATAATAATAATAATAATAATAATAATAATAATAGACTATGAGCTGCCTGAAAGTGTTCATGATCAGCTGTATCATCTTAACGTGTCCTCAGTCTAATTCTCCTGCCAGTACTTTTCCTAAATAAAAGCTGACCAAGTTAAGTTTGTCTAGGTGTCCTGCACATCAATTTTTTATTTTCCTTTTGTACTATATAAAGATAATTTTTCTTAGATTTTCTTCATAAATGGCTTAACTATCCTGTCCATTTTGTATTTTTTCTAAACACAAGATTTCAAAAAAGTAATAAAATAAAAAATAAATATAAGATTTCAAACTAACTCATTTTCCAACTGTCTAGAACTTCAATTCCATAACTACATGATTTTTTTAACATAGGGTCACACCAGGCTGGCCTTGAACTCACAGCAGTCCTCCTCCCTCAGTCTCCCAAGTACTGGGATTACAGGCACGCACCATGCCCAGCTACTGCTTTGTCTTTTTTTTTTTTTTTTTGCGGAACCAGGGATTGAACTCGGGCCCTTGTGCTTGCCAGGGAAGCACTTAACCTACTGAGCCATCTCCCTGGCCCATGCTTTGTCTTTAATAGCTGCAAAATAATAGAATTCTTTTTCTGTCTATATTGTTTTAATATGCTAAGTTAAATGTAGAATAATGGTAAGATCTTCACTGAAGAATAAACTATCAAATATTAGAAATTCATATAATTTTCAACAAAATAAGGCAAGACCATAAAAACATAGAGCCATTTATGTAGTGATGTATATATGTATATATTTTTAAAAAATAGAAGACCATGGTGGTGCATACCTGTGATCCCAGGACTGGAGAGGCTGAAACAGGAGGATCACTGTGAGTCCGACCTGCATAGTGAGACCCTGTACCAAATACATACATACATACATACATACATACATAATTTTTTTAAAGTAACATGCCGACGTGTTAGAATTCAGTTGTAGGTGATGGAGTGTAGTAGAAGCAAATAAAATGACATTGTCAGAGGGAAGCAGAGATCTTGACAGAGAGAGATCAAGAACAGTACTGAAGGTTGACTATTAAAATGTTAGGGTCGTGTTGCAGCACACCTGGCTGTGCTTTGCAGTAGCACTGCAGATAGCCTTGGGACCTTCGTTGAGCACCTCAGTAAGCACAAGCAGCTGTGACAAATCTCCCAGCCAGCCTAGCACATACCCCTTCAGTGCAGAGCCTCCCCAGGGGGCGTCTTGACTCAGGGCCCCCTTCTGCCCTGACTTGCTGCCACCATGTCGGCTCATCTGGAGCTTCCCATAGAGAAGCTCTCTGCCACATGTGGCTTTGGAGCACTGAAGGTGCTGTAGTGTGAACTGAGATGTGCTGTGAGGTGTACAAGGCACAGTGGGTTGTTGAAGGCTCGGTACAGTAAAGCGGAAAATACCTCATTGCTAAAGTGTGTGTTGATTGCATGTCAAAAGGGCATGAAAATTTACTTTGTCTACTCCTTTTAGATTCTCATAAGTGACTACCAGACATTTTTTAGTCACATAAGTGGCCTAGTCATAGCTGTGATGGATTGTGCTGCTCCGGAGGAAGGGAAGTAGTGTGGAGAATGCACCCTGAACCCTAAACCCGGCCTGTTGGCGGGAGTTGGCCGCTTTCCAAGCATCCTGTTAGGGGAACTAAGAAATTTCATTTTTGGATGAAACTACCTCCAAGAAATTGTGCTATTCAGAAAAAAAGGGCGACGCCATAAAGTTTGGTGTCCTGCCAAACCATTCATTCCCTCAGAAACAAATATGCAGAAGCATGTTATTCTTGGCCAGCCTCTTTGGAGAAAAGTTAAGGGAATGCGGACAGATCCCAAAGTAGAAGAAAAGTATGATTAATGGCAGAGAAGGTGGATGTGAAAGTATCGATGAAGGTCATGCTGCTGTCACGATTCTGCATTTGAGCGAAGCTTTTCCAACCTTGCCCTTTGGCCCTTTGTGAAGGCTGTTTGCCCGTTGTGGGCAAGCCCTCCCACAAGCCACTAGGTGGCAGTAGCACTCCACCACTGCTCCGTCATGACAGCTAAAATCTCCAGATTGCCAAAAGCTCCTTTAGGGCATGTTACCGCCTTGTGAACCACTCTCAGAAAGATTGTAAAATTAGTAAACACACAGACAGCAGTACAAAAAAACACATTCTTTGTTTAATAGTTTGTGACACAACTAAAAAATAATTTTCATAACCTTTGAATAAAGTAGCTAGGAAGAAAATCCTATTTTTCATCTACTTTACAAATATATCACTGTATAGGGGTCCACAGTGGAGACACTGGAACTATTTGGGGCACATAGGTTCATAGCTCATAACTAACCACTGTCACCTAAAGCAACAGGACAAAAGCAAACTGAGAAAATTTTACATAGAGAAGAGCTTCAGGACACTTTATATTAATACTTTCTAAAAATATGAAAGTAAATTTTACAAAAGGACAAGGCTGTAGCTTGGCATTCTCTCCCTGGGTCCAGTCCCCCCTGCTGGAGTGCCTACCTAGTAAATGTGTGTGAAGGTAAGGGAGTGTTGGATGAATTCTGTGGTCCTCCTATTGTCTTTCTATCTGGACCCACCTTTTCACGTTGCTCAAGTCAGAGGTGCCGAGGACATCTGTGGTGCCTCTTTCCTGACAGCCCACATCCAGCACCTCAGCAGATCCTGTCAGTGCTTCGAGGTACATCCAGCATGGGAACCTTATCAGCTTGTCCCATAGTGTTTGCCTTCTAACAGTTAATTTCCCAAACTCTACAGTGAGACCAAGTAGCTTAAAATGACTAAATATTGTTGATTGTGTTAATTTATTTTCCAGAGGAAGAAATTAAGACATACTCTTGCCCCCACAAAGCAATACGTGCAAAGGTTACTGCTGTGCAGTTGGAATCACAGGAGCTGACCTTCCACTTCTTGTGTTCTTTCAGTACACCTGTGAAGCACAGTCTGTCAGGCTCGTTTATAGAATGAATATAGGGGCTGGGTGTGGTTACAATCCCAGCATTTGGAAGCTGAGGCAGGAGGATCGCCTGGAGTTCAGGGCCAGTCTGGGCTACAAAGTAAGTTCAAGGCTGATATGAACTACATGATGAGACCCTGTCTCAAAAGAAATAGAATTCAATCTTCTTTGTCAAATATTGTGCAGAATTGTTTGACATACTTTTTATGAATTATCATGGGCTGGACAAATAGCTCAGCAGATTAAAACACCTGCAAGCAGGTTCAGGGGCCAGGGGTTCAATCCCCAAGCCTGCCATGCCAGCCTGGCCCCTGGGACTCACTGAGCCAGCAATTGAGACTGGGCATGGTAATGCGTGCCTGTAATCCCAGCTTTTGGGAGGCTGTAAACAGGCAGACCACTATGAGTCCAATCAAGTAGAGGGACCCTGAACACCTAAAATACCAAAAAAAGAATGATCAAACTGCTTTCCAGTAACTTTATAATTTTTGATGGAGGTATTGGTATTAAGCAGTTTTGTATATGAGTTGTGATTTGTCATTTCACTTGATTCTGTTTTATTAGTAAACATGTGAAGCTTTAAAAACTTAGAAGGGTTCTGTTTTAGTTTCTTGCTTGTTCATTTGTTTTGTCCCAGCAGTACAGTGGAATCCTCAAGTATTTCCTTTTCATTTCCTGGAGCATGGTCTTTCACTAAAATATTTTATTTAATCTGTTAGTGCAATAATCCTAAAACCAAAGAACCCAAATTAGAAGCTGCTGCCAGGATTATTCCAGAATGGGTGGAATATGATGCAGAGATACAGCAATTATTAGATCATCTTGAGAATAAGAAGAAAAGTACAAGTAAGTCATTTTCCTTGGAATGTTTTCACACTGAGAAATGAGATGAGAATAAGATAAGAATACATTAGACTTGTTTTTGGAAAGGTTATCAAATGATTGCCAGAATTTCTGTACATGTGGCCTGTGCACTGTGCTATGTATTCTCAGCCCTTTTTATTTTGAGACGGTGTCTGGGTTGGTCCCTAACCTGCCTCGGGTGGGCGCAGCCTGTGCTCTCCTGCCTCAGCACCCCAGAGCTGGGCTCGCAGGTGTGCTGTGCTGCATTGCCATGTCCCTTATCTCATGGCTGTTATGCCCACTTGTGTTTATTATCTTTCCGGTGAGATTTAATGAAGAAAGAAACATCTACCATCTTGAATTGAAGAAATGATGTATTTTTAAATTATATTTTAACTAATATCTACTTGCAATTTTCATTTTCAGTTCCCAGTGCTCTGAAGCCAGTTACAGTGGGACAGTTTAATGATTCAGAGGAGGTCTCTGTTTTGGTCCATGAAAGTGTTCATTTGTGTGGTACTTACATCGGTGTGAGAATGCCCTGTCTTCTCATCTTAGAGGACAGTATATGTCCTCTGTTCTTTCTATTTCTGTTATAATGACAGATACTTTGTGTATGTTGAATGAGCTACCAGATCTGTAGTATTACTTGAGACCGCCATCTGTAATTATTTATCTTAAACTATATGAATTTTTAAAAATTAATTTTATTGAAAAAGAAATAGCAATGAGACAGTTTCAAAACAGGCTAGTAGGCTAACCTGCGCCGGCAGGACCAGTCCCGGCCCAGGCACACCATGGGCCGGACCCTCTCGCACCCCCTCGGGCCGCCCCCCACCACTCCGCCGTATCTACCCCACCCTTCCCCCCCCCCAGTAGGAATTTCTGCCGACTTCCGGGAACACCCAGACCCAGTCCTAGCCCAGGTCTGGTGAGTGTGTGGAGAGCTTCCTGCTACCCTGTGCCGGCGGGACCAGTCCCAGCCCAGGTGCAGAGTGAGCCGGACCCTCTCCCGCCCCCTCGGGCCACCCCCCACCACTCCGCCCTACCTCCCCACCATCCCGCTGAGTACGAATCTCTGCCGACTTCCGGGAACCCCCACACCCAGTCCTAGCCCAGGTCCGGTGAGTGTGTGGAGAGCTTCCTGCTAACCTGCGCCGGCAGGACCAGTCCCAGCCCAGGCGCAGCATGGGCCGG